CAATTAAAAGTATTTTTTATAAAATATTTTTTAAAATTATAATTATAAAAATTATCACAATTTCAAATATACCTATATTTTAATTGTACCACAATTTTATTAAAAAAATATCAAATTGGCGGGCCTATCAATAATTGAGCTCCAACATTAGATTCACAACAAACATTCAATACCATCTTTTTACCATGATATTCAGATGTTAACTTTTTTTATTTTTTTATGTTTTTTTTTAACTATTGAAACTTTAAGAGATTGAATTAACCTTTTTTCTCCTATAATTGTTAGACAAATGAGAGAGCAGTGGAATACTCAAATCTAGATCTGTTGTAGAACATAAAACCAGATGCAACATAATTATTTTATTCTTCATAATTTTTTAACAGATATATTTTATGTTTATAAAATCATGAATATTAAAAACTTTTTTAAATGGATTATATTAACGATAGAATTGTATCTAGTTTAATTAAACAATAAAACTGGAATTTTAACATCACATTATTATATTTATAACGTATTAATAATTCAATAAATGCTAAATTAATCCAGCACCTTAATGCCACGATCAATCTAATACCTTTTGAATTATAAATACTTCAAAAAAAAGATATCTAAACAAACAGTCCCTTGATACTTCAGGAAGAAAACAGCTGGCCACATTATTCTACCCCTAAATCCCTCTCTACGATGATTGGCTCTCAAGTTCCTTCACTCAACCAAACACACAAGACCACGTATCCAAAACTCTACTTCCCCCTCCATCTTATTCACGTGGCAATCACTCATCGGCATACCTTTCCTTCACTCAACCAAACACACAATACCACGTATCCAAAACTCTACTCCCCGCCCGCACTTTATTCACGTGCAAGCACTCATTCGCATACCTGACACAAATTAATCGGGGAGGAACCGAAATTAAATAAAATCATCACTTCAAACTCCAAACAAAAAAATCTGTTTGTGTAAGTCTTCGTCAACTTCTGTTTGGTTGCCGAGGAAATTTAATTACTTCTTGGATTTTGATATTCTCGTCCTTTTGATTCTATTGATAGATTTTAGTTTCGTGATCAGCGGATAATCTTGTGTTTGCAGAATTTCTGATAAAAATTATGACTAGGAGCCGTTTCAAGCAAGAGCATGATTTTGGTATTTTTCTTATTTTTTGTTAATCATGCCTGATTCTGTGTTATTACGAATCCCTAATTTTCGATTTCTTTTTCTCTAGAGAAGAGGAGGGCTGAAGCTGCGAGAATCAGGGAGAAATACCCGGACAGGATTCCGGTAAGGATGTTGTTTTAATTTTGCTCATTAGTTGATGGACTTCGGGCTAGAGTTATTTTTGCTGGTGCTGAATTTTTTTTTTGGATGAATATTGGCATTGTTGTCAACGGGGCTTGAATTGTTCTCGCTACTTAGACATGATGATTTATGATGGTTGTTTTTGCATCTTGCGATTGATTGAAGCTTCTTTCTCTACTTTGTGACTGTTGGTAATAAATGTGGGCTAGGTCGATTTATTAATCTGATTGAACTTCCTAAAATTTTGCTGTTCATTCTGGAAAGCAGAACACAAGATCTTGCTTGCCTTTTATTTCTCTTGTTGAAAGAAGCTTTTTGAATTTTGAAAGAATTTAGGTGGAAGAACATGCTTTAATTTTGCACATATTGTCTCTGTTTTGATGTGGGTTTCATGGTGCTTTAATAATGCGAGCTTGCTTGTTGCATGGGGCTGAAATCCATGATCATCACACCATTTACCCATTCAATTTTAATTACATGTGTTCAGGATTGATGCATGGTGCTCTATTTGCACGTTGAATGATATTATTTGCTTGAATTTTGTTACTGTTTAAGTTATATATGTTCTACAATGGATAACCTAATTTCAATAAGGAGTAAAGTCTTTTGGCACCTTTCTCATCCAGTTAGCCTCTATTACTTACCAACTAGGTAATTGTGGAGAAGGCTGAGAGAAGCGATATTCCCAACATTGACAAGATAAAGTAAGAATCGCTTTCATACTGCAAATGTTTTCTCCCTTGGTTTCGTACATGATATGGTTCGGGTCTTCCTTTAGTATTGTTAGTTAGAGAATGCGTCTTTCTTGTCCTCCAAAAATTCAGCTGATGGGTTTTTTCCCTTACAATTCAAATTGCATCATATGGTTGTTTATGTCCCGTACTTCTGTTTACTTGTACATTTTGAAGTGCAAAAGATAATATTTATTTGGTTTGAGTTTTACAGGTACCTAGTCCCGGCTGACCTGACAGTCGGTCAATTTGTTTATGTGATCCGGAAGAGAATTAAACTGAGTGCAGAAAAGGCAATTTTTATATTTGTGGACAATGTCCTCCCACCAACTGGTATCAATCACTTTCTCCCTTCCCCCTCCTAGTGAAATGTGCATAATACATCTATGAACTCATCAAAAATAGCTTGAATCTCAAACTAGTCAGGTTCACTGATACAGATATGTATATTTATTATATACATATAATAATGACTGTGGGTGTGGAATGTTTTTTAGATACTGCTATTAAACTGATTTTTTGACAATGAATCTCTACTGCATGGAATAACTTTTCCTTTAAAACTAACCAATTGAACTAGTCCATCACAAATGAAATGGATCAAGGAAATGTTTTTTCAACCGAAACTAAATTATCAATTAAAGCATCTAATGATCCTTTTGTTTACTGAAAGTGTTAAGTTGCTCTTTGAAAATGCACGTTCATGAAGATGCACGAACATTAATTTCTATAGAAATCTAAACTTTGTTTGGCACAAATTAGTTCATATGCAGGGCAACTGGTGTGTATTTAGTCTCTGTGTTTGCTTGTTGTATAACTGGCGTGTTCCCTTTAAAATTGTGGATAGTTTTATAATAGCGGGCGAAAGTGTTTTAACATTTTTCAGAAACCTGGGAGTAATAAATGTAAATTCAAACATATCGCAGGAGCAATAATGTCGTCAATCTATGATGAAAAGAAGGATGAGGATGCATTTCTCTATGTCACGTACAGTGGGGAAAACACATTTGGGTGCCAGATGTTGCCATAGCCAAGTTCTTTCAGTGTCTTCCATTCTTTGTCATTACAAGTTAAAATCTATCTCTCGTTTCCTAGGACTTGAACAGTCCTGGTATTATGCCCTGTGATTTATGGCCTTGTTGCCTTTCTTGTACATGTGTGTAGTAGCTCTTCGTAAATTGGCCTTGTTGCCTTTCTTGTACATGTGTGCAGCTCTTCGGAAATTGAAATGGTGTCAACTACTGAAAGTAATTAAAAATTTCGAAACATGTTTTCTTTTCCTCGCTTACTACTTGTCTATTAATTGGTTTCTAGTTTTTGCCTCCTCATAAATGCGGACAGGCGTCTTGGTTTACTATGGAGTAAATCTTGAAGCTTGCCTAGAAATATTACTGTAAAGTGAATGCAGTGGTAACAAAATGGGAGAGAGTGAGGATTGGGTATATCTGGAGAAAAGGTTGAATTGGATCCCCATGTGGGACACCGCATATCTCAGGTTTGGAGAGTGAGAAGCTCTCAGTAGTAAAGGAAGAGGGGAGAAGAGGGAGATCCATCGAAGTGTTATCAACGGATTTGAAATCCTTTGATATGTGTACATGGTTACTTTTGTCTCAAAACCTTTTGATATTGGATCGCGGATTGTATTGGATCGCGGATTTGATACGTGATCTGCAAAACCTTTTGATATTGGATCGCGGATTTGATACGTGATCCGTGTAGTCTAGATAGGGTTTATTTGATAGTATAGAAAAGGTTTTATTTTAAAGTTTTTGTTTAGAAATGTTTTAAAATAATATTTTTTAAAATTTTTATTTTTAATACTAGTATATTAAAATCATAAAAAAATTAATTAGAAGTAAAAAAAATCAAGATTTTAAATAAATTGTTGTGGTTTTTGCTAATCAATGGCTTGGATTGGGAGATAAATTAATTGGCTTTGCTTCTATTAATCTTTTGGAGTCTTTGGAAATGTTATTGAAATCATATTTTTTAAAATTTATTTTTTTTATTAAAATTTATTTTTTTTATATTTTTAAATCGTTTTAATATGCTAGTTTTAAAAATATTTTTTTAAAAATAAAAAATACTATAAACCATAATAACTACTATAATCTAAAACATATCTGAAATCATCATTCTTTAAGTTTGATTGACGAGATAATCTTAAAAATAGTTTATTTTTTGATTATTATGTACATACATTAATATAAAAAATATTTTTTTTTTTAAGACTTAGATGGTTTTAAAATTCTATCCTATGTGGTTTTCCTAATTTAACTTTTTTCAAAGAATCAAACTATTTTATCTCTTTTACTCTCCTTTTAATCTAAAGTGTAGTGAAAAAATAAAATAAAATTGTAACTTATGACTGTTAAGTATAAATGATGCACGTGGTTCAGAGAAGCAGCTTTGAAAGAAAAACTGCATCTACGGCACACATAGAGGGTAAAATCAATCCATAGTCTATATCAAAAGAAAAACATTTTTTACGAGGTGATTGCTCAATCAGAACAATAGACAGTCGATCCAACCCCATGAAATCTCAATCAAGGCTCTTGACTTTCTGAGTGGTTGTTATTTCGAGAAATCAATTCAGACCTCAATTATTTTTATTGGATACGTTTTACACTTCACATTCCATATATCGGAAAGGCATCTCTTTGATTATGTAAAGGCTATAGTATAAGGTGTTGAATCTAAGACTTTACAGATATGAAATTTCAGATTTCACCATCAAACCACCCAAGCCTCAGCCCTCTAAAGCTCGAAATGGTCTTCAGAATTTAATAATTATTTCACATAAGCTCTATCCTTTTCTATACAAAAGCCCCTTTTAGATAAAAGAAAGTGACATTTCGTTCAAAATATACAGCCATTTTATACATTTTTTCGGGTGAATAATTTTTGTAGTTATAATATACATTTTTTCTCTCTCCAGATCTTAATTTCTTAACTTTTATATTATGTGGATATGAATTTATTTAACAATATAGTTGTAAAAAAAAAATATATCTTGAAATAAAACTTGGGTTACGAGTTGAAATAACTAATCTTTAATTTTTTTAAAAATAATATTATTTTGATGAATATTTTTTTTTAATTAACAAATAATAGCTATATCTTGATAAAATTATACTCAATCAACCTGAATTTTTAATAAAATTAAGCAAGATTTGTTTTTTGTTTTAAATCCGATGGATTCGGGATTAACTGTATAATTAAGTGGCATTGACACGGGAATGATGGGGCATTTGATTTCAGATACAGAGGAGGAGTCACACTGTACTGTTTATGTTGGAAGTCTCTACATAGAAACCATTACCAGCTTTCAGTATTAACTTCTACAACCGACCGACATGGTCTTACCGAACTCTCTCTGACATTATTAATTCTCGCAGATATTGGACCGCCTTTCACTTGGATGAGCCGATGATGCGCAGATTAAGCGAGGATGCCGTGGGGACAACTGAGCGAGCCGACCGAGACTGCTCTGCTTTTACAGGACACAACCAGTTGAGCTGGCTGTCAACGCCAAGCCCGAATCCCTAGCCATTTTTGATAGCCGAGCCTGTCGCGCCGTCGATCATATCCAACACAAACACCCCACGTGAGGAGGCCATCAACGCCTACAAATTTACACGGGGAAGCGACAACTCGCCAAACCAACATACAAACAAGCAAACAGTTGAGTCGAGTTCGTGCTTGTGATCTTCTTCCCATTTCGTTTTAATATATTTTTTTAAGAACAAGCATATATTTCCGAATCAATTTTTATATATTATAATTGCTTAAGGAAAATCTTTATTAAACTTAAATTTTAAAAATAAGAGTGACAAATCTTTTGAGAAATCTTTCCAGATTTTGAAAATACATCAATTGCATCATGTCCGATAACCCATACCTGTTTCAGAAATTTTAATTTAAATTGGATAGAAATAGGAATTAAATCAGAGACAAACATTTGGTCTCCAAGGACAACTTCTACAATCTCTTGATTATCGTATAAACGGTTGGATGATTGTAATCCATAGCCTAAAATTATTGGTTCAAGAGACCATGAAGAGATCTTTACATTTAGTCCAGAATCAATCAGAACTGTTACATTTAGTCAATTTTTGCCAATTCTCAATTCAATAAAATCATCACATGCAGTCCAGAATCAAATATATGAACTGTTACATGAACTTCATGGAGTTAATTTTAGAGAGTCCAAAACAATTCCTTCATTCAAAATCTCCCCCATTTTCATATTTTGTCGTCAGATTGAGTCACCATCAACGGTCATCCTGGGCCTTGGCGATCACAATGCCCGCACCTGACCTATGGTGTGTTTTTCTTGGACCACTGGGGCATCAATATGGCAAGCCTTTGGCGGACATGGTTGTCAAACCTCGACTACAGATCAACTCGAAACCCAGATAATTTAAGATTTTGGCCGGGTTTTACATGTCAAAAAAGTAAATTTATAATTAGATTATTTAAATTTCGATAACATGCGATCAACCTGAAACTCAAATGACTACATAACCTAAATGATCCTATTTGTTTGTTTTTTTTTTCCGATAACTTCTCGTGTCTTCCTTTTTCAGTAACTTTCATGGCACCTTGTGCCTTCTCATTTTCAGTAACTTTTTTAGGTTTTGGGATCTTTTAATATATATATGTCTGCACCTTGTGCCTTCTCATTTTCAGTAACATTTTTAGGTTTTGGGATCTTTTGATATATATATATATATATATTTCTAGCAAGGTCCTTGGTGATAAAGATGCATCTTCGCATCTAGATCTTCTTCTCAAAACAAACAAGAGTAAAAGGATCGTAATTAAGAAGAATGCTACCCATGAATTAAATTGAAAAGAAGAAGCGATGAAGTGGAGACACAAAAGAGAGTTTTGATATGCGGGTAATTCTTGGTTTTATGCCTCTTTTATTGGTAAACCGGCTTCTTTGAAAAAATAATTTTGTTTGTTTTTTTAAATTTTTTTTATATTAAAATAATATTTTTTATTTTTTAAAAATTAGGTTATTAAAACCATCCAACACATAAACAAAATAAATTAATTACCATGTTGGGATACAGGTGCATCGGACATTTTCCACGTGGCAGTTGAATGAATCACATGGGTGTTCGCCACGTGTCCTGTATGGCCGGTGTTGACGGTTAGGACACTCTTACCTGTTCCTTGTGAAAGGTACAGAGAAGGGGCGAGTTCATGCACCAGTGTCCCCTCCTGTCTCTCTCCCCTTCGTGTCCCTGCTTTTCACAGGGCCCACCTATGTTCGGCTGATCATGTGGCTACTAGTCAACGATCGATGATCAGCCGATTAAACTGTTTAAGGACTTCTTCGTGTCTTGAGATTTCATGGAGAGAAAATCAATTCTCCGTCTGCAACGTATATATACAATATCCTAATTAAAGATACAAAAAACTCACATGAATTTTCTGATTTTAATTTTTAAAAAAATTCACGAAATATTTTTTTTTCTAATTGAATTTCTCAATAAAAATGCACACAGTATATAATTATAGTTCTCTATAATCAAATGGAATTTAATTATGTAAACATAAATAAGAGAGCTCTTGTAGTTCCGATAAAAATTCGATTTCAAATCAAAATCTGACTTTATTCCTTTTTTTCACTCAGAAGAGTACTCTCATTGGAATTAAAAAGATTTTTATATTACTTTAGAAATAATTTATTTTATTAATAAACACATATTTACACTGGTTTTAATTTTTTTATTTGAATTTGAAACCTTTATGCCTTTATTTAAATTTTATCATATTAATTTTCGATGAATGGAGAAGACAAATTCTTAGCTTATTTTACAAATTGAATTCCAATGTAATGAATTTCCATCATTCTTATCATTGTCATTATTATTTATTAGAATATATTTTGAATATTTTGATTTCTCAATAAAAGCTCAGCTGATATCAAAAGCGTTTAAGATCACGGTACCTAATATTTTTTTTAAATAATTTTTTATTTAAAAATATATTAAAATAATTTTTTTATATTTTTAATATTTGTATATCAAAATTATATAAAAAAATCAATTTAATATTTTTTAAATTAAAAATATTTTTTGAAAAACCTAAAAATAAATATAAAAATAGTTGAAAAAATTCACAACCAAGAAACCTAATTCACTTGGTTAAGCCCAACAAGCAGATAAACAACCTTTTTTTATGTATTTTAATATATATATTTTTTTATTATTTTTTCAACAATTTTTTTTTTTGAAGAATTCTTCATACACAAAAAATTTTATTATAAAATTAAATATATAAAATATATAAACCTATACTTTTGAATGGACGAATAACCCGCCAATCAGGCATTTTTTATTTCACTAGTTAAGGATTTGTTTAGCATAAATCGCTTTGCTGGGTAAGCTATAAATAGCCTTTACGCCTCTAAATCTGACCTTTGTATTGGAAAAGTCAAGTCTTTTACAAGACATAATCACTGTCAAGAGGTAAAGTCTCTCATTTCTTGACCACACAAAAAAAAAATCACCAACTAAAATAAATTGGTAATTGCTTATCCCTTCAATAATAAAAACTTTAAAACTCTAACTTAAGTATTGAAGAATTATTTTGCAGATGACACCATGATCGCAACTCTTGTCAGGACAACCCAATCCATTAGTAGCAGCCATCGAGATTTTTCACCCACTTCGTAA